CTTACTGTGGAAACACAAAACTGTGAATAATAGTGGACCCTATTGAAAAGAATTACTTCTGGTGCACTTTGACCATAGATAGAACACCTCTCTAGGCATTTCTAGGTCCTCCAATGCAACTTTATAGTCAACCTGTGCTGGACACATACAGTCACCCTGGAGGATCTAGAAAATGTCTAGAGAGAACATACGTTTTCTGACATAAGTAAAATCACAGGTACTAGTCTCATGGATACAAGAGTTGTACTGTATAGATAACTAGATCTACCAGTGTTATTACTGTACATGCCATAGGAAAAGTTGTTCCTGCAAGGTTTGGCTTGTATCTCTTTGAAGGGAATGAAATGTTTTTGCTGAAACAATATGGGAACAAAAAAAATCAAAAAGTGAATGTCCAAGTAAACTTTTAATTACCCCTCAACCATTATCCTAGATAACTAAATGTTGCGTTGGTTTCTTATTGGTCTTGGAACCTTCCCTTGGTCATTTTTCCCCTCTGAAAAAAATGCTGATTTGCTACTAGGCAAGGAGAAACCCATTCCCCTCAATTATTTGTAAAGGCTGTCTGCAATTGTGGGTGGGCATGTGGCTTATTGAAGGGTGGGGATTGCATTATCAAGTGATTTTCCTACCTGTGCTCTACACAGAAATGAAACTGCTTCCAATATATATAGTTTCCCACACTCTGGAAACTTCCACCTTGACGGAAAGTCATCCACTGCTCCATAAAATACAATTCAGCGAATGAAAAGTGTAGGCGATCAGATACTGCATAAATGAGAGCACTGCAGAGCTTTATTTTCCCACAGAACAGCAATGAGGGTGCGACAGATTTGGTTTGGACCATACCACATCAGACAACAGCAGTGTGTCTGAATAATTTCCTTGCATAGCAAGGGGGGGGGGTGAAGTGCAGCCCTTGAAGTTCTGCAGACTGCACCCCATTTTTTTTAAAACTTTATGCCAAGGATATTTTTTTAAAAAAAGTTGAAAATAAGCCACAAATGTCTCCCATCCCTCCCACCCACCCCCAGGAAAAGGTCTGCAATTGGCCCAATTGGTGACCAAAAGTGATGCAATGTCATTTTCAATGTGCCAAAATGCAATAGTGAAGTCTGTGGCAGAGGGATGGATTGATCCTCTCTTCTGTAGTTGTTCACCTTTGCTGGATGTCCCAAAACTCAGAAAACAGATGTGGCATCAATTCCATGAAATTCTTCACACTTCAGCTTATCGTAGCATAGACAGTCAACCACTTCTTCTGTGTACAAGCTGTGTAGCTTTTAAGCAAGTAGGATTTTACAAGAATGTATAATGCAAAAATCTTTCAAGCCATCTGCCCAAGAAGTGTCTTGGTTGTGTCTTGGTTGTTTAAGTTCCAATTTTGATGACATTTTAAGTTGTACAATGTCTTATTTAAACGGTTGTGTGGCAGTCACTGCTTTCTTTCTTTCTATGCCATTTTGACTTTCCTCACCCCCCCCCTTTTAAATTGAGGAGTAATTTAGGCTGTTGCCACACTGCAGAAATAAAGCAGTTTGATGCCATTGTAATGTCCATGGCTCAATGCTATGGAATTCTGGGATTTGTAGTTTGGTGGGGGCACCAGTGCTCTGATAAGGAAAGCTAAATACAGTGAGCTCTTGCTATCCACTGGGGTTTGGTTCCAGGACCTGGATACCAAAATCCATGGATGCTCAAGTCCCATTAAATACAGGGTGATTAAAAAAGAAAGGTGCAAAAGTAAAGTTCTTATGTTGCTTTGCACCATTCTTTTTGAGTCACCCTGTACAATGGTATAGTAAAATGGCATCCGTTATATAAAATAGCAAAATCAAGATTTGTTTTTTTGGAATTTATATATTTTTTGAGTATTTTCAGTCCATGGATAAAGAATACATAGATATGGAAGGCTGATTGTATTGCAGAAATGTACAAATCCCAGAATTTCATAGGATTAAGGCATGATAGTTAAAGTGAGAGGTAAAGTGGTGTCAAACTACTTTATTTCTGCAGTGTGGCAGCAGCCTCAAAAACCATAACCCTTTTTGAAGTTTAGGTCTATAGCTGAGGACAGGAATCATGTTGCTGTCCTACACCAGCATAGATGGTAAGGGGAAATGGCCATGGGCACAATAGGAAGGCAGGCAGGAAAGCACAGGAAAAACAGACTGTTAGCAGCCAGCAGATCTTTTCTGCCTTCCCTCACAACCCTAGAAAAGATGCAACCACATTGTTTGCCTTCAAGTCATTTCCGACTTATGGCGACCCTAAGATGAACCTATCATAGGGTTTTCTTGGTAAGTTTCTTCAGAGGGGACTTGCCATTTCCACCCTCTGAAGCTGAGAGTGTGTGATGCCCAAGGTCACCCAATAGGTCAGGATTATAGTCTTCTTTAGTCCTTGACCAGGGGATGTTTTGATTGAAAAGGAAATTGTGTCCATGATGTGATTCTTCTTGGGCTACAGAGGAGGAATCTTCATGGGCAGGATCCTTTCCATAATACAGAAGTTTCTGATACTTGCTCTTTGTTGGGCTGGCTTTTTGGCATTCAAATCTCAGTATCATTTCTGGTCAGACCGCCCCCCAAACATTTTTAATTCAACTGATTGGTAGTTGTGCTTCAGGACACTGATCAGGGATTCTGGACCCTGCTTTCTGTGCTTGCTCTGGAAAACTGGGTTGCCATAAGTTGGAAGTGACTTGAAAAGCACACAAACATATATGTGCTTCATATATACATATACAACATACACAAACATTTACAATACTTAAATGTTTTTCCAGATGTAACAGTACAGAGATTTCTTGAGATATTCAATGTTCTATGCCTAAGAAAAGAGGCTGTCAGCTCTGCACAGAGAAGAGTTACTCTGGATCCCAATGGAAGTTACTTTGCTATTACTAATGGATTTGAAATTGCATTGCCTGTTGTTATACTGCCCATTGTCCCTGTTCTCACTTGGCCAAGAAGGAGAGTGGCCTCATCCTGCATCATCCCTCTATCTAGACCATCTTAGCTGACAACAGAAGTGACAAATGAAGGAAGTGTAGGGCTGTGCATAACTTCTCTTGTTCATTTTAGTTGGTCCAATAAAGATTATCACTGTTTTGTAGGTCTGGGATTTTGTTATATAGTGGGCCCTTGGCTGGGGTTTGGTTCCAGGACCCCTTCTAGATACCAAAATCCATGGATGCTCATGTTCCATTACATACAATGGGATAGTAAAATGCTGCCCCTTATATAAAATCAAGGTTTGTTTTTTTTTTGGAGCATCCACGGATTTTGGTATTTTTGGTATTTACAAGGGGTCCTGGAACCAAACCCCAGCCAAGGGCCCACTATATAACAAAATCCCAGATCTACAAAACAGAAAACATATTCTCAAGCCATGGTTGGTTGAATCTGTGGATACAGCGGGCTGACTGTATAAGGGATTAAAAACATCCCAATTTCATACCTATGCTGCTGAGTTATGAGCTACCTACCAACCAATTGCTTTGCAGAGAGGCGGGATATAAATAAATATTATTATTATTACCAAGAAAGGGATGAATTATTTTACTAAAAGGACATTACCAACCCATAGCCTGCAATCCAATGTAAACTTGCTGGGAGGCAAGTTCCATGGAATCATAGATCTGATTTATTTTGGCTGACATGGAAGTCATACAAAAATGGAGGTGGGTAAAGGTGGCCCTCCAGCTGTTGAATGCTTTGGAGCTTTAGTGAATAGCCAAGGTGAGAAATGTCCAGATTGCAGGACAACAATTTTTTCAGGGCCATTGAATTCCACCCAACTCAAAAACAATATGGAAAACAATTAAAATAGCTTTCTGTTTTAACTGTGAAAGACACCTTATGTAGCTTTTTAAAAACTTTGCTTTGGGTATTATTTTGTCTATGTAGTTTAATTTTCAAGGTACATTCATTGGCATGAAGACAAGTGCCCTCTTGCCTTAGAAATATACCTACCTAGAATAAAGCCCCAAGAATTTAACATTTCAAGTTTATAATAATACAGACCTTTATAGAAACATTTAGGATTCTTTGCTGGAACAACAAATGGTTCCTATAGAAGACTCAATCTGAAATATGTGCAACTATCTGAAGAATGCATCGTGACCATGAAAGGGGGAGAAGAATGTTTTTATTTCACCCTTTTTCAAACAATGGTTGGGATTTCATTTTGCATTTTTACTGAATATTTAACTTACTTTACACAGTAATGCCCATTGTCTGTCTGGATTTCAGCATGGTGTATATTCAAAAGGCAAAATACAGTACTATGACATAGTACAAAATTTCAATGTCACAAGTCATCTCAGAAATCAAAAGGGCTATCACATGAAACCGCAGGCTAATGAGTATTTTCTGAACTGGTCTTTTCCTCTTTAGAGGTAAGAAGTTTTGTCCTTTTACACCAAAGATGAGGAATGCATGGCCCCTAGA